GGTCCATGTACAAGCACTAAAGAAATGGACAGGTCACAGATATACGATTCATTTGACACCATAAATAGTAGACTTTAATTAAACAATTGTAATGGCTACCGTGTAACGGATATTCATCATTTGTAGACTAGTAAAATCATATAAGACCAAAATAGGAAGCATATTAGAAAATGAAAACATAGAGAAATCAAAAGAAGAATTATGAAGTTAAACAGGAGTATAAGAACTGGCATTACACTGATAATCACACATTTATAGCAGAGAATGTATATGGAAAAAAAAATTTGTGGAGTTTTCCAAAGAAATATTATTCCAGAGAAATAGACAATCAATTACAAGCTAATTGCAGAAGACACATTTTAGTTAATTTAAGCTGTGAGACAAAATTGGAATTAAACTCAAACTTTCAATTCTTTGTAACTTGGGAGCATTGTAAATTTCACATGTGAAGGCAGCCATTCAAGTGTCAAAAAGTTAGTGGATTTCATTTAAAAAGAAAAACTGGCCAAACAACGTACTTTTTTCCCCAGCCGACCAGCCTCAAAGCAACCTCAGCAGCAGTATTTGCTGCAGCAATAACATCAGCTGTCCTGCCGGTAATTGGTCCTTGCTGAAGAACATGATTATGCACAACAACTGCAATAAAACCATCTATGTGACACCCCATATCTCTGCATTCCAAGAAAACCACATAATCTCACTGTTAGCCAAAATATTGGTACTATCACAAATGTCCCCTGCTTATATCCGTTAAAAGCACACGTTAAGCTTACATGTTTAAAACATCGCCTTCTTCCAACACAGTCTCATCACTGGCCAGCGGTGNTTAAAAGCACACGTTAAGCTTACATTTTTAAAACATCGCCTTCTTCCAACACAGTCTCATCACTGGCCAGCGGTGAAAAATGGCAGACTGTGTTATTAACTGAAATGCAAGTAGGGAATGCCACACCCCTTTCGATCTTCTTCTTCACATTCTTCTACACATTTCCTGTTTGCCTAAAAATTTAGAACACGGTGCAACCACTTAATATCAATATATCCCAAACATATATATACAGAAAAATCCCACGTGAATATATGAATATATGTTCTTATAAAAGGCTAATTAATTTTGGTGGATTAAATGAAACAAAGAGCTTACTTCTCACAAATGTCAACAATCTTTGCATTTGGCTTGCATTCAGACAACACTAATTGCAATGTCTCTGCATCAGTCGAATTGTAACTGTTAAAAATTTCAGCAGCGGATTTGTATTTAGTGACAACTTCAGGAGAGGTGAGATCCAACTCCCTCTCCTCTCTTTCCTCATCCGACTTTGTCTTCAACCTTCAACAATCACAGAAAAAGTATAATTATTTTTAAGGAAAAAAATAGTCTTCAGAAATCAATA